TATATATATATATATATATCGCTGGTAATTTACGTCGACAACAGACCCTATCGGGCTTCTCTCTCAAGCCACGTGTTTCGCCCTTTCAGTTCCGATCCCTCGCATCCGTCAGTCTCCAACCCGCTAAACCCAATTGGCCGCCGATTCCGCCGCCGGCGACTCCAAGAATATGTCGTCCTATCTATTCGCCTCTTCGCCTTGTTCAGTTTCTCGCTTCTCCCTTCTTCTCGGATCCTCTCTCCCATTCTTTGGCATCAAATCTTCCGCTCCCCGTTTCACAAGGCGTAGGCACACCTCCAAATCTTGGGCCCATCTCTGGACCAGGTCCTCTTCCAAATTGTTCTCTGCTCTGTCGTCGCCTCCACCTGCGTACGACGATGTTATCATGCTCGGTATCGAGACGAGCTGCGATGACACTGCGGCCGCCGTGGTAAGTTCTCTGAACTTCTGTGTTCTTTGTTTTAGCTCTTGGTAATAGTTGCTTTGGAGTAGATGCTTTTCGTTTCTATATTACGTTTCGGATGTGTGAGTTGTTTTATGTCGTCTTAGGTTAGAGGTAATGGAGATATCCTTAGCCAGGTTGTATCTTCCCAGGTACGTACTCAAAAGTCTCAAATCCCCTTTTTTCTCTCAATATAATATTATCAATTATGTGGGCCATGAGGTCGGTGGAGTTTGATGATTAGCAATTTCATTGCAAAGATGTTGTTTTGATGTCCTATTTAGTTTAATATAGCAAACGTGTGGATATTGGGATTAATTTTGTGAACTTTAACCTGGAGTCGATGATAAGCTTATATGTGCGTGTATCTTTTGTCTTTCTGGATTTGTTCAGATTTTTTATTGGGGTATCAACAGGTACAAACAGTTAGCTAAACTACTTAGTAATCAATGATTACAATTTTCTAATTGCAATATTAACAAGCTTTGTGTGATTTACCGATGGAAGGCACATGGTTTGCGTTAATCACTGTTTCAAACACATAAAGACAAGAGGATGAATTTTAACTGGAGGAGAAGAATAGTGTGAGTGATACTCCATAGTAATCAATATTTATTTTTCATCAAAATTATATTTATCCTACTTTGTGAAATATGTGGGAAAGCTTCCTGTTGCAATAAGGTAGCAAATTAGCTCATAATAGGAATTCTCAAGCTAGCATTATGCAACCTTCATATTTTGCACTCCAACAGGGTGGAGGAACAAACGGCTTGAGACTGTGACTTGTTATGTGACCATTGTTTGTGAGAGGCCACTTGAGACCTTCGAATTTCAGCTTTTGTTACTCTCATTGCTTTAAGTTGGAAAATATAGGGCTGTTAAACATAATAGTACAATGAAATACTTTGAATATACATTAAGAACATTCAGTATATCAGTGCTATGAGATGCTTTGGCAACACAGTTCGCTGGAGCCTATTATTAGCATGTAGTTGGTTTAGGATCAGATAGATTTATACTAGGTCAGTTTTGAAAATGCTTTAATCAATTTGACTTGTATGGTTTGGTTTTTAGTTGATTTTGATCAGCTTCTTTTATATGGTCTTCTTGGCAAGATATATTTTGAAACTAGTTCCACAATTTAACTCATACGGTTTTCTATCGTATTTGTGGCAACTATGATTATGTGTCCTGCTAGCATTTTAATAGATTCTTTGTGGTTTTTATTGTCTATAAACAGAGTTAAAATGAGTTACCAATTCAGAATGGAATTTGAATATAAATCTTGCTTTTGGTGGATTTCATGTGCCTTGATGTCATCATCTTAGACTCTCCTTTCCTCTTTGACTTTATCTGGTAGACACATACTGTTATATATTGAGTCAACATCAGTAATAAATCAAGTATTGAATTCATGTGACACTAATTCCTTTTAATAACATTCATTGGAAGGTACTAAGAATAAACAGAATTAAGGGGAGTTCCCAATTCATGATGAAGTTATAAATAGAATTCTATTTTTTGGTGGATTGTATGTCTTCTTGCTTCATTGTCTTACTACAACTTTTTTATATCTTATACTTTATCCTGTAGGCCATATAGTCTCTTATATCCTGGGGCAACAATAAATCAAGCATTCAATTCATATGACATTATTTCCTTCTTATAATATTCATTTAAAGATACTAAGAATTGGAGAGGCAAACTTTTACACTGCTATATGTATATATGCATTGGTTTACAATTCTTGCAATTGTGATTAGGAGATGCACCAAGTATAGATTAAAGAAGTAGGTAAGTTAGACTGTCAATGTAGGAAAGACAACTATTACTGCTATAATAAAAACATGTGCTGTTAGGATAATTAATCGACTTTGTTAGAAATAGAATGTCTCTTTTATGTTATCGAGCCAATAGATGGTGGTTGAGGCTGTACACATTGTTGCATGCTCTATCTCCTTCTCCCTTTGTCATGAGAATGGTCAATAAATTGATATATTGCACTGAGTGCATATTGTATGAGTGTGTTGTTTAAAATCTCCACAATCTTGTTGAGGTTGAAGTATGCATTTTCCACCACTGTACTGTGTATAGTCTACTACAGAAATAGCATGCCTGTTTTCAACCTTTTAACAGCTAGAGTCATGATTGTCATGTCATGCATGCTTATCAAATGCCATTACTTAAGCTTGTCAGGTGGAACTTTATAATCAAGATCCATCAACATGCTCAAGTTGATTCTACCATCTTTCATATGCCCGCATTTTCAAGTATTGGCATTTAAGTATCACACAAACTTTGTCAATTATATTTTGAGAACCATTCTATTTTTCAGAATTTTTCTTATGCTTTATTGACTGATAACAATGATCTATTTGTGGATTCAAATATACATCACATAAGGTTTGGTCAGATTCATGTCCCTCATCACATTTCTCTTTTCAAAGTAATGAATTTTGAGTGTTAACAGGCAACGAAGGTATGCACAAAGCAAGCTATACAGAAGTTATAAGCATAAATTTCCTTAAACAATATTTTTAGCCTCCTTGCAAATTATTCTGATTTTCAAATAAGTGGATCATTTGCTATTTGATTTGATTAGCCTAATATGTTCAGCATTATGAAAGTTTGATGATAGATATAAGTAGGGACAATATGCTGGATTTGCTAACCTCTCCACATCAAACACTGGTCTTCACCAACGATTATGTTACAAGTTACAAGTTAATCTTTTTTTTGGCCTAGAAATAGATCTAGTCAGGGATAACAAGTGAGTTGAGGATTTTTCTCAAATGGAAGGATGTATGTCACTGTCCAGAAGTTATGATTGAAAATAGAAACAAACTTTTAACACATCAGCGACAATATATGTTTTATGGATTGAAGGACAAATCTTTCTCAAGTTGTGCACATTTACATTAATATTCTTCCGAGGGTACTATTATACACAAGGGAAAATCTGTAGGACCCTGATTAGAATAAATTAAAAGGTTCCATTGGCAAAGTATGTTGCTTGCAATATAAATTCATAGTATATTATGAACAAAAAGCAAAATGCTTTTTGTATTTGGGATAAGTCATACCAGGATTTTGAATACCGGTCCGTATCGGCGTATTGAGCTCTGCTCGGTACGATACATACCGGTATATACCATCGGTATGCTAGGGCGTACCGATGGTATACCCTAAAACCTTAAAAATACTTTCACCTATCATGCCAGGGCGTACCTATCGGAATGCCTCGGTAACGGTCGAAATCCGGGGCAGTATCGGTCGGTATGCCTCAGTACCGGTCAAAACACTGGTACTGTCCGGTAGAGGACGGTCCGTGTACCGGTATCCTCTTGGACCGGTATGTACCGCCCATACCGAGCGGTACACATCGAAATTGAGAACCTTGAGTCATACATCATGTAGAATAACACATTTTTAATAGAATCTATATCCTGGTAAATAAACCGGAACATATTGGTTTCTGGTTTCTCCTCTGCACCATCTTATTGTACTTGTTGTCAATGTAATTTTTATAGATATGTGACCTTTATTTGTCAAAAAGTCTACTTCGTATTTGATCTTTAAAGATTTTCAAGACCATTTCTTTCTCAGATCTCAGATTATTGTGTATGGTGGTATATACATGCTTAGTTATTAGTGTAAGGTTCTTTTACACTGATAATCAAGCAGTGCGTTAAGTATGATAATTACATATATGTTAATTTTATAGTAAATTGTTTCACAAGCAAAAATTGAACATTTAACCTTGGCTTTGTATTTAATCTAATGAAGGCAGATCTGCTTTCACGTTATGGAGGAGTTGCTCCCAAAATGGCTGAAGAAGCACATTCACTAGTTATTGACCAGGTTTGACTTTTAGTTAGTTTAAGCACTTGATGGTGCTTGTTTGAAGTTACATTAGGTTTCATGCCACTTATGAGTTAGTTTAACAGGTTGTTCAACGGGCACTTGATGATGCAAAATTGACTGGAAATGATCTTTCAGCAGTTGCTGTAACTATTGGACCAGGCTTAAGTCTTTGCTTGAGGGGTATGTATGGCATGTACCGTTTAGTGTAATTGGTCTGTTCCATATCACTTTTTTAGATCAATGGGTTGCTAAGAAAGAAAGCAAATGCCATACTATTTTTCTTCTCATCTCAGAAAACAAGAACACTGAAACACTAGGCACCAATAGAACTTTATGAACTATTGCTTATAGGCATGTGGCAACAGTTCTGCTAAAATTTCCTATATATTGCAAAAGATATACTGTGAAATTAGAGTCAACAAAAAGCCTTTTGTCCTTGTAACATGTGTCGGTTTTCATCATCACTAAGTTATACTATTTCTTGTTATTTTAAATGGGTCTCAAGTTTTGATATCGTGATGTTCTTTTTGTGTTTAAAGATCTTGGTTTCATGAAAAGAATTCGTTATATCCATCATGTAACATATGATAGAATGCGGACATGTGAAAGTTTAATTTATTGATTTTATTGAACTGCATTACAGTTGGTGTGCAGAAAGCTCGAAGATTAGCTGGAGTCTTCAATTTGCCTATAGTTGGTGTCCATCATATGGAGGCTCATGCTCTGGTTGCTAGGTAAATGTCAAGGCCATTTAATATATTTTTTAAGAAACATTTACCCATGGATTTAAATACTCATCTAATACTGGTTTCAGTAACATCCTGACCTGTATCAACTGGTTGCTAGGTAATAGTTGATGCAACTGGGACACCGGGTAGCATCCTGACCTGCATCACCAAGTACCACTGAAAAAATGAATGATAAAAAATTTAGAATGGTTTGAAACTATATGTAGCATTGTCTTGGTCCAAAGACTCAGAACTGTTAGTAGTATTTGATATATTTATTTCAATTAATATCTTAAACCATTCATGTAACATTCTTTCTTGTGTAAGGTTTACATTTCTCAGGTCCTCAATCCATTTTTCAGGCCCACCCAGCGCTTGCCTGGGCCACGCCCGGTTGAACTCACCTGCCCAGCCTACTAGTTGGGCCTTGCCTTGCCTGGGGGCCTAGGTGAGCGGCCGATGACTTCACTGATTATAATCCTAGAAAGATTAATATAAATGACAAAAAAAATCATGTTATCCACATCCTTTTAGTCCTTATGTTGAAGATATTAAACTAAAGCCTTTATTATAGATTAGTGTGGCCATATAGCATAATTTCATTTTGCCCACCCATCACTCACTTTGTCACACAACTCACCTACTTCATGCACAATTTGGTTTCATCAACCATCTCACAATTAGTACATGATGATTGTACATCGTGTAAGGAGAAAGTTAATATAGGCATAAAGAATACTGGAAAATTACTAAAATATGAAATGGATTGAAGGCCTTAATGACCCGATGCAGATAGGTACATTTTATTGCTGATGCAGATAGGTACATGGCATAATGTTTCGTAACAGGGTTCAATGCGTCTCCCATATGCCACATGGCTACTGTCACCTTCGTTAACACAAGATAGGCATCAATATATGTGGTGGCTATTGATGCTTACTGCCGTGCAGATAATAGTCTTAGGAATCACATGCACACCATATTCACGATAGCATAATTAGCTATGGAAGTGCCATGTTAGCTTCTTATCAAATCCCATTGGTCTATGGATGAGTGAATGCTGGGATTTCCTTCGGCTTCTTCAGTATCAGGTGTGTACCAGACAGTCTGACAAAAGAAACACAAGTGAGTTAGGTGTTTTAAAGAAAACTACTAGTAAGTGAAACAAGCTTTATCATCGGTTGGCATTTTATAATGAACATTAAATTTAGTTTGTTTCTTACATGTGTTACAAGAAGCAAAAATAAATGATTATGAATCTATGACATACTAGATGGATTTGATTATGTAACAATTTTCTGAATCTGTTGAGAATTATTCTTATCTTTTGCATTTACTGGAATTATATTTCTCTAATGGTAAACTATCTCTTTCCAGGCTGATTGAGAGGAACCTTCAGTTTCCTTTTTTAGCACTTCTTATTTCAGGTAAATCACTTATGCTGACACTTTTGCGACTGAACTTACAACATGTAATTTATGTTTTTTCATAAGAAGTACCATCCATAAATATACTGGCTGCTTTCATCCAGTTGCAGATCTTTTACTGTAACAAGTATTTTCTATTTTGTTGTTGGAATTGGCAGATGATTGAGCTTCACACTTGTGTAGATTATTTCTTCCACTACAGTGGGGAAGGCATGCACTTCTGCATGTCTTTGTTGGTGACTGTTATCTTAATTTGTTGTTATGTTTATATTTCGAATCTGTAAGTTACATGTACTGTGTAGACATAATGACAGGAGGGAAAACAGCAAATGCATTCTTCTGAGTCTTTGTTTATTTTTTTTAACAGATCACTGCCATATGTGTGGTTTACTTGAATGCTTTCCATAGTCAACCAACACCTTGTATTTTCTAGCGCCCTGATCATAGTCTAATGATGCTTGAATGTCTAAGTATCTCAAACTCAAGCCTACACCATAAGCAGAAGAAAAAATGCACAGTTTCATATCTGATTCAATCAATCAGGAATGAGATGCATCAGAACCCTTTGATTAGGATTCTTTTACCATGTTAATTATTTTACCAATGGAATGCAGGCCTAAGCCATATATTCTTGTTATTTATTTGTCAGGAGGGCACAATCTTCTTATTCTTGCTCACAAAGTAGGTCATTATCTTCAACTTGGAACAACAATAGATGATGCAATTGGTGAGGCATATGACAAGACAGCGAGATGGCTTGGCCTTGACATGAGGAAAGGCGGTGGCCCTGCTCTAGAAGAGCTTGCTCTTGAAGGTGATGCGAACTCGATTAATTTCTCGGTAAGTTTGATGTTGATAACTTTTAGTTCTTAAGTACCATATATAACATAGGGCAACCATCACAAGTAGTCATTTATTTTAGTTTAGTACTATATTATCTGGAGAGGTGAATAACTTATTGTCCTTATCTTGCTCTTTTCTCAGATTCCTATGAGGCAACACAAGGACTGCAATTTCTCATATGCTGGTCTAAAGACACAAGTTAGACTGGCTATTGAATCAAGAAAGATGTAAGGAAATTGTCACTTTACCATGGTTATGTTTTTGCATTTAAACTTAAAGCACATAGCCAAGCACATGAGAAGTGGAACTCTGTTTGAAGGTTTGGAACAAACAAAGAATTAGATACTCAAATCGAACTGTGCTGAGGGCAAAAGAGGTGTGTGTGTGTGTAATTCTTCAAGAAAAGTTAGAGCAGTAATTTTGTCATCTCTTGAATTGAGGGATTGCAAGTAGAATCGGATGGCCTTTCACTGTTGATTAGCTGATGCCTTTGCGGCAAAAGAAAAAGGAAAGGGGAAACTTACAGGAAAAGAAATGTTGGATGGTTTAAACTATTTGAGCAATGAAGGGAAGGTGTCTAGAAGTACTGTATGAATGTTGAATTGGATGACATCATTGGTAGAGATGTACAAAGATGTCATCATGCTCATGGAAAGATATAGATAGCACCAAACAATGTTTGAAACGATGTGTGGCACATTGGCATTAAGCAACGTTTGTCGTCTTGTACCAGCATCGATTCCTTATCGGGCCAGTATATTATATATAAGCCATAATTGAATGGAAATTATAGGCTATATGGATCGAAAATTGAAATTTATCTTTTCGGATCCATCGAGGAAGAACTTTGTTACACATTCCTTCATCGAAGAAAGTTGTAAGTTGCTTCTTTTGATCTTGAATTACCTAAAAAGAAGATGTGATGTTGAATTAGGTGTCAAAACTCCAAGATTTGAACAAGATAAACTTTCGAGATGCCATTAATATATACCTGCTGCTAACACCAACTGAAATTGAATGATGAAACTCCATGGCTGATGGATCGGGATCCTTGATCCTTTGAAGTAATATCTCAATATGGTTGGTTTGTTTGACCAAATCTTGGAACTGATCCCACAATACATTATATTGGAAAATCATGCATCATTGATGCATCATTATGGTAATAGTTGTTGCCTCATCGTCATCACAACACTTGTCCTAGGAGCCTCCTAAGGTAAGTAAGATCATGTAGAACATGTTTCTCTGTGGTGTTAGGACAATCAGACCCCAAAACATGACCAACTATCACCAAACATCTGTTAGCTATGATCAAGCATCAATTGGCTATGAGAACCTTCGCAATATGGACTATGAATATAATGAGCTCCTATCATAATTGAAATTGTAGAGGCTCTATTGCTCAAAGTCACTGGCTGCCTTCTCCTTTCCTCCATGCTGATCATAAACAAGATGTGTGGATCCTGGAGTTTGAATTTTATTATATCTTGGGTTTGAATTCCCTCATTTATCTAAATTAATCGCCACTATCACCAATTGGGGAGATTAAACACATTTTAATGAGTGAGAATGAGTGAGTGTGAGCCAATGAAATAGGGGTAGGGTGGGGCTTTGATAAGCTCAAAACAGCTCCCAACGGTCAAATTGACCCTCAAGGGTTGAAATGGTCAATTTTAGCTTGGTACTAGTCGAAATATGATCGTACCATTGGTAATGGTTAGATCTCAACCTTATCAGGCGGTATGTGAAGCGTATTGACTATTATGCTTCACAAATTCAATGTGGCGATTAAGTTCGCCTTAGCAATCTAAATCGATTTATCGACCAGTTGATGGTATTGTCAGCGATTTCAATAGGCGCTCGGGCGCTCGCCTAGGCGCTCGGGCAAGGCGGGGCCCGAGTGCCTCGCTTCAAAGAGGCGCCGCCTAAGCGCTCGCTCGAGCCCAGGAGCCGGGCGCTTCGGGCGAGCGCCCGGGTTAAACCAGGCGACCGAACCAGTGTTTTACGTTTGGTTCGATCTCCGGTGCTTCAGTTGGTTCAATTGAACCAACTAAAGCACCGATATCTGCCTCCCAACATCCCTCTCGCGACTTCCCCAACCCTAACCTTGCTCGTCGTTACCGTTGCCACTGTCGTCGCTCCTGCTGCCGTCGCTCGCTGCTCCTGCTACCGCTGCTCGTTGCTATCGCTGTCGCTCCCGCTGCTACTACTACAGCTACAACTGCTTGCTGCTACCGCTGCCACTATCATTGCTCGCCGCTCCCGCTGTCGCTGCCGCTATCGCTGCCACTGCCACTGTCACCGCTCGTCGCTCCCGCTCCCGCTGCTCGCTGCTACCGCTATCGTTGCCACTGTCGCCACTCGCCTCTCTCGCTCCCGTTCCCGCTTCCGCTGCTCGCTGCTACCTCTTCTGACATCGACTCGATAGTATACTGTTAACAGTATATTAACAATATACTGTTAATTGTATACTAGTAACAATATTTTTTTATTTATTAGATTAATAATATATTATTTTGATTTTAATACTGCTAATTTTTATTTATTTGAAATTATTGTCATTGTTTTGAATTTTGAGATTTTTTTTGTTAATGTGATATTGTGATTTTGTAAGATTTTTTAATCTAATATCATATTTTTATTTAAATAATTATATTTATTAATTATATTATATATTTTTATATTTTAGCGTCTCGCTTCGCTTGGGTGAGTGCCTGGCCGAGCGCCTAGCGCCTCGAGCGTTTTTGGACCTTAGTGCCTTTTGGCGCCTAGTGCTTTTTAAATCACTGGGTACGGTATGTACTGCTTCGTACTGACATACCATTTGTCGGTATGGTGGGGCATACTAACAACACAGAAAAATGTTTAAAAATAGCTAAAAAATTCCTAAAAAATAGAACAAAAGTTAGATTAGGGTTTTTAAGTTAAAGATAAATATAAATTTAGTATAATTTTAGCAAAAATAATATAAATTATAAAAGAATAGTGGCATATATCTTTTCCAGGTTTTAAGTAGCTTTGTGGTATATTTCAGACTATCTTTTTATTAGTATTGAATTATCGACAAAGAAATAATTTGAATTGTTAGATTATTTGTTAAACAACTTAAACTTTAAGATTCAAATGAATCAAGTAATCGATCGATGGATATACCTAGTTCTACCACCAAAAAGAATGACGGGACTCCACGGGCGATGAATCGGGGTCCTCGATCCTATGTATTCGTATATCAATTTGATATGTGTGTTGGACCTAATCCAAAAATAAATCCCATGACATAGTATACTAATACATTGTATGCTATTAGTGCATTAATGTGGTGATGGTCGTAGTCTGATCGTCATAAACCACACGTGTCCGAGGCGTCTCTTGAGGCAAGCATGATTGTGGCATGTATTAGTGCGGAGGTTGGAGAATACTAGAATTTCTACTTTCACCATTGATCTGTTACTTTGTATCATAAGATCGATATTGTACAGCTGCTCGAAGAAGAATGACCAACTATCACCGTATTATTATTGGTTGTAAGACTCTTCATAATATGATAGCTTTGAATATGACGAGCTCCGCTCTCTGTTTACGTTATGTAGGCTCTATCGCATCTGCTTAAAAGCATCCATTGCCTTCCCTTTTTTCCGTGTATAAACTTGACCAGTACCTCGTCGAGCTTCATGATTTGAATCATAGGTGGCATGTGTAAAATAACTGTTCTTAGGTCCATGCACCACCCTTAAATTGTGTAGACGGGACTATTGACTCGGCGTTGCCATCATTATTAGTCAGGGCACTACTGTCCACGTCGTTACCATGTCTCCGGGTTGAGCCAATTGCTGAATATGATTGAGAAGGTGTCTCGTCATTTGACTCGATTTTTTCCAACGGTGCTACTAATGCTACTGCCTTCTCCTTTGCCTTTGCCTTTGCATGCTAGGCGGATGATTTTTACGATTTGGTTTCTTTAGTTCCTCAAGTAGTTTGACTTGATGTTGTTTGACTCCTTCAGCTACATTCGGACTGAGGGATATCTTCCTCTTGCTAGGGATATGCTTTGTCTTCTTCTATTGCCTCGGTTATAAAACTTTAAGGACGTGAAGGATCTCTCACCTCATCAAGTAAAGGATCCTTTTGGTTCTCCGTTGCTATGACCTACTCTAATATCAGCTATAAATATACGTTGTAGTATTGGAGGTCGATGGGATCAATATCTAGTTCCTCTATCTTTTTGTGCAGCTCAGTACACCACAACCTCAGTCGTATGTTGTAGTGGGCATATATCAGTTTCTCTAATCGTCTATATGATAATTTGTTGCAGACCTCTGTGTGAATCAATGTGAACGTTGACTAGTTACATTCGTAACCACTCGATGTCATCGTCAACGAAAGTACACGGATGATTACTTTATTTAAATTTGGTACATCCCCTCCAAATTATAACCACCACTTGACTGCAAAGATATAAATATGACTTTATTAGCATAACAAATAATTAATGTCAAGTATAGTTTATAATCAACATGTGTGTAACTTTCCGTTACTAGGATCCATATTGTAACGACATGGTACTGCTACACCGTTGGAGAATGAATCGATTGTTTTCCGAAATAATTGACCCTCTATAATAGCATGGATTGTATTGACAGAGTTTGACAAGAGTCGATATATAATATTTCTTAATGTTGACAATAAATTTGATCGCATTCCAAGATTATATTGAAATTGAATTACTGGATTTAGATAATACGCTACAAGACAAATAATTTTGTTAATAAGAATTTTATAAATATTAAAATTTATTGATTAAATTACACTGAATATGAATTTACTTGCATTATGGATGTCTTGGTTCATATGAATTTCGATCTTTCGATCAATGATATCTAAGTATTGTTCGACCTTAAGATCATTTGTGAATGCTTTCTTGACCTCATCTTTTGCTGTAATCAATTTATGCCTAAAATAAGACATTTGGGGATGCTTGTCCATATTGACCTTACGGAGGACACCGTAAAGTGGTTCCACTCTTATTATAATTTTATTCATAGTATTCTAAATTATAGAAGAAGTCTTTTCCACCTTTTTTTCTATCGCTCGATCTCGAAGATTGAGAATCAGACCATTCTTGTGAGGTGACTACTGTCTTGAGACCCTACTTCTTTTGCTGTATTGATTTGAAGTCAATGAAATTTGTAGCAAACCGAGTGACTCTAGGTCGGAGTATCTTATCATCTGTATACTTTTGCATCAGAGAGCATACCCAAAGATGATTATATATAAACTTTGTGATCGATTGTGCCCAAGCTACACACTTGTTTACTTATAGTAGCTCGTCAATATCCTTCAACATTAGATCCATGCAATGAACTATACATGGAGTCCAAAACAATATTTCCCTTTTTCATCAACTGTAAACTAATTTTTTTGAAATTGGCTCCATTAGCGATGACTCTCTGGATAATGTACTATGGTCTGATTTCCTTTACCACTGTGTTAATTAGGTTCTCAATATAGTTTGCATCTCGAATCTTGTTGGAAGTAATAATTGACTTATGAAGAAATATTTGTTTGTTGCAATACATAAGAAAATTGATGATACTCATTCTTGTTGGCCCTGTCCAATTTTTATACATCAGTGTCACCTCATATTCGTCCCACTACTTCTTGAAGGATTTGATTCAATCCTTCAATTCTATCACCTCCTCATCTAAGTACATGTTGTGGATCTCCTTCGATGTTGGAGGTTGGATCCCTGTGTCAATCTTTTGAATAGAAGAGACCATGTTTTGATAATATGGATCTTAGGCTGTGTTTGCTGGAATCTTGTGGAAGTTGAACAATAGCTATTGCCTTCTTAATATCCCGTTTTTTTTCTTTTGTATATGCATCATCAATCTGTGTTTGCTTTGTTGTTTATGAAGGATAGGTTTGCGGATCATATCAATAATATCTAGTGGTGACCTCCTGCCAAGTCTTCTAATAAAACTTCAGATTCTACCCTACCTCATGCTACTAATCCGACTTAACTGAGGAGGGGTAGTTGGATGCCACATGTTGGCCGACGTCTAGAATCCTTGTGGTGCAAACCCACTACCACCGCCACTCCCATTGTGAGTCAGGTTGTTGATGCCTCATTGCTTCCTTATACATGTATTGATGCTCTAGTGATGCACGAATACCAACTTTGAGATTCGAGTCGATATCATCGCTATGACCCTTATAGTCATCATAAACCGACTCATACGTAGCTCTGTAGTATTCTTAGTTAGCTCTTGCCTTTTTTTTAATTATATCTGCTCTTGCCTATTGTAACTTACCTTAAAATGATTTATGGACCTTTGTTAGAATTTTCTTGCATTTTGTAATATAGGAATACCCGCTAGCCAAATGCATCTTCACCCGAATGATTCCTCCACCTTTGTCGATGTAATCATAATAAATGTATTGCCAATGATGATGATTACTGTCTATCTTTCGGGCATAATTCTAAGCGTCATCATATGTCTATTTCTTTGGTGTCATGTTTTCACCAAAATTAAATCAAATAAACAAGCTGCAATTAGTCTTAATTTGAAATAATTATACGTAATGAACCTTACTTTGCCACTATAAACATGTCAATCAATCTATTTGACATTAAACACATAATTGACTCAATATAGATCAAATTATGATGAATTTATAATTAAATACACTAATCACAAAATTAAAAACACTAATTATTCCTTAATTAGCTCTCTTTTGCCACAATAAATATGTCAAACACTCTAATAATTATTAAATATATAAAATTGACCTAATAAAGGGTCAAATAATGATAAATTTATCATTAAATACACTAATTACAGTATTAAAAAAATTAATTAAACCCTAATTAGCTTTATTTTACAACTATAAATATATCAAACACCCTAAGAGACAATAAATACATAATTTTGATCCAATATAGATTAAATTATAATGAAATCATCACTAAATACGCTAATCACAAGATTAACATGGTTAATTATTCCGTAATTGTTCCTCTATCACCACTATAAATATGTCAAACACTCTAATAAGTATTAAAAACATTTAATTGATCAAATATGGATCAAATTATAATCAAATCAATATTAAATTCACTATTCACAGAATTAACATAATTAATTAATCCCTAATTACTCATCTTTCACTATTATTAACATGTAATCCATTGAATTGATCCAATATGGATCAAATTTTGATTAAATCATCATTAAAGCCACTAATCAATAATCGTAACATTAAAAAACTTAATTAAAATCTAATTAAACCATCACAAACATGTAAATCACCTTAGTATGCATAAAATATAAAGATTTGACTCATTAAGTCTTTAATTTCGAAAAAATCAGTATTAAACATACTAATCACAACATTAAAGGTCTTAATTACTTCCTAATTAATACTATTCTATCATCGTAAAGACCTTAAACAACATATTAGACATTGAGAACATAGAATAGGTTTAATCATCTCATAAATCATAAAAAATTTGGGAAAACAACGCATACATGTGATTAGAGAGTTCTTCCTCTAACTTAGGAGTTAATCCTTCCTAATTAGCCGTCAAAGCTTGATCCAAACCATAAATTACAGCTTTGTATAGTTTTAAGAGTACAAATGTGAGAATAAGAGAAAGGAGTGAGAAAGAGATTAAAAGTAGGAGAGTTTGAGAGAGTGAAAGAGGGTGGTATTGTATTTTGGTATTGGCTGGTCTCCAATGCTAAAACACTAAGATCTGCCCAGTCTGAACTCTGAAGTGGCATGTGGTGTATGCTTTCAGTATGAGGCAGCCTGCATAAAGGGCCCAGCTTGGACTGGTAAATACTGGTCAGTGCACATGATACTCACTCCAATTTAGACCATGGCACCAAGTCATGGTAGGATGAGAAATTAGTTATACGTGGCCCTGACAATGGAGATCTGTGGTTGTCTACTTGAAGGTGCCACAATATTGTTGTGAAATCTACATTATAAAAAAGGACCTGACAGAATCATTTTGAAATAATTTGTTAATCCAAAAGGATCTGCAAGGAACTGCCTTGTCTGTATGGCACTTGCATTTGATATGTAATTTGAGACATAGAAGAAGCATACAGAGAGGAAAAAAATGATCTATGGTTCTATACCACATGTGGTGAATTTTATGTTTATGAGCCATGATATTGAAGTTGACTTCTCATCAGAATTCTTCACCCTTTCTATTCCAATTTTGTCAACAAGAAAAGATCTCAAGCATTCTTCAATTTTGTAAAAATATGCAGAATGTAAGTACTTTTAGAAACCCATCAAGTCAATGATGGT